TAACTGGTTTAGAGTATTGATAGCATGATGGTTCTCTTAATCAGGTAGGAAAATGTCGATAATTCTTACTTAGTTTAATCAATTCTGATTTATGTAACACAAATCTGGACATATAACAAAAATATGAATCTAAATTTAGCACATATACATTGATTATACAAATTATATTTAAGAACAATATTTCTAAGAATACGCATATTTATTCAGATAAAAAATACAATAAAATTGAAAACAATACCAACAAAAAAATTGAAAATTACAAATAGAAATTTTACATACGCAATAGTGGTGTCAAAAACAACTTTCTTGTCTTTCATCATAAAGAATCATCGAACGCTGAATAGTCTAGATTTAAATGCATTGAAATATTCAGTTTGAGATGAACATTGCATATTTCATCAATTAGAAGAAAGTATAATGTTGAAAGAAGCTGTTATACAAAACACTGTATCATGCGATTAAAATAATTTGACAAAAATTTGTTTTGCAAAATCATTCAGCCTTCGCCGTTTATTTAAGATGTATCTTGGAAAATTACGGATACCATTTAGATTAATAAGAAATATGCCATTTTGTAGAGAAATAAAAAAACGAATTTAAAAAAATAACAAAGTCTGAACAAATGGATCTTAAAAGATTCATCATTAAAATACAGAGAGGTCCATTCTTTCTAGGACACTTGTTATAATTGAAGGTACAGTTAGTTAATTAGTTTTAAAAAAATACTGTTACATATAGAAATTTTAGTGTATAAGACAATAAGACATAATGCGTTTTCGATAATATTGTCAATCGAAACTTTTTTCGATTAAATAATTCAATGCAAAGAAAATAATATAAAGCCTAGTCATATTGAATTCATGAACGAAAAATAATTATTTCAAATAGTATATAGGCAATGAGATTCAATCAAAATTTATTGTGTGAAAATGCTATTTATAGAGATCAGCGTGTCATCGGAAATATAACAGACCAAGGTAGGTGATTATGAAAATGAAAAATTGAATCAAGCACATAGAAGAAATTTAAATAGTATGATAAATCTATTTCAGAATCTATTCAATTGATCCATCTCATAAACAGTCATTTCTAATTTTCTATTTTTATTTAAATAATATTTTCAATAGAATCTCTTTGGATTCGAAGTGCGAAGCACAATCAAACTAAATTCTTTTCTTTTCTTTTGTAAACCATCAAATATATCAGTTATGATTAGAGTCCTACAGGTAGAGCTTGTGGAGTCCAGAATTTTTGAACTCGACAGAAACATACATTGATATTCTCAATGTGATTTTCTAATCGAAATTGCATAGTTGCCATGAAGATACGAGATACCTTTTTTCTCCAGCTTTTTGTATTCGATGACTAGCGCATCCTACACATTTCTCAGACGACTATAGCCCATCAGGTCCAAAATCTTCGAGCCCGATTAACAAAAACATTTTAGACCCTGGTCCAACCTTTTGCGAGTCTGGAATCAACCGGACAGAGCTCTACCTGTATGACAAACTTTTTTCGAGTTTCAAAGTCCATTACTTTTGAAACAATTCCGAATGTCTCGCGGGACGAAAAAAATGAGATTATTCATGATTCAAGACTGTATCGTAGAACTCTAGTTATGATCTGTTGTACGAGCCATTTAGCTTTCAGTTGTATTGAAAGGTTTATTCATTTTTTTATTGCTGAGATAACTTGATTTAATTGTTTAGTAATAAACGAATGTATATACAAATGGTATTTCATATTTCTCTGGAAAGGCATAAAATATAAATTGTATTCTACTTTTCATTTTCATATGGTGTCTCCCTCTGTTAATAAAATACCTTAAAAGTTATACAATTGGTGAATACTTTTTGAAGGAGGCGCTGTGATATCTTATTTTATTTCTATTTCATGGTTGATATGAAAAATTATTTTTTAGATTTTTGTGTTTCAAAGAATCTATTATAAGCTAAATAAATGTATTTATCAGACGAAGTTATTTATGTTTGTTTACTGCTTATATCAATACCGATTGGATTTCTTTTCAAAAATTCTCGTCATACAAATTTAAAAGCATACTCTTCGACATTAATTGGTTTTATTTTTGCTTTAACAGTTTGTCGTTGGGATGTTTTACATTCATTAATAACAACTTCTGTAACATGTCTTATAATAGCTAGTGTCACTGCAAGGTACAAGAGTTGTTTTTTTGTTTAGAAGTTCATATTGTTCATTTTTCAATCTATATAGATATGTTCATATAGCAGCATTTATATGGTGTTTTTCATATTTATTATTTTTTCGTACAACAAATTTGTTTTCCATTCGATTACCTGTTGCACATAGTAATGCTATTCAATTAATGTTAACACTTAAAGTAAATAATTATCAAAAAAAATGGATTGTCATTCGAATAAAATAATTAGATGTTATTGAACATTTTTTCTTATTTTAATAGCTTGTTGGTATTGCTTTTGAATGGCATGATTCATATACACGTTTGAAAACTATTCGTACACAAACAAATGCAGATGAAAGTGAAAAATTACATTTACAAGACATGTATTTATCTGTTAAACCATCAACTTTACGAGTCTTTCAATATGCTTATTGTTATATTGGTCTTCTAACTGGTAATTTTCAATATAAGATTTTTATAATTAAA